TTCCTTCTACTGAACCAGCCCCCCCCCCCCGGACCATCAAAGGCAGTATTGCCCCCTCAGACTGGCAGCCGCTCTCCGGGGTCTCCGGCAGGGAGAGGTCTTTCACCTCCTGCCTGGTCCTTATAAACTGGAGATGCCGCCAGGGATTGAACCGGGGACTTCTCGCACACCAAGCAGAACCTCTTCCCCTGAACCAGCATCACAATATAAAAACAAGCCAGGGCAGGCAAGTGTGGTGTCGTGGTTAAGAGTGTCGGACTACGATCTGGGAGGCCCGGGTTCGAATCCCCACTTGGGCCATGGAAACTCACTGAGTGGCCTTGGGTCAGTCATACTCTCTCAGCCTAACCTACCTCACAGGGTTCTTGTGAGGATAACAATGGAGGAGAAAAGAGTAACGTAAGAGAAAAGAGAGCTAGTTTGGTGTTGTGGTTAAGTGCGCGGACTCTAATCTGGGACAATCTGCGTTTGATTCCCCACGCCTCCACTTGCACCTGCTGGATGACCTTGGGCAAGCCGTAGTTCTGACAAGAGCTGTCCTTGAAAAAGAGCCGTTTCTGTCAAGAGCTCTCTCAGCCCACCAACCTCGCAGGGTGTCTGTTGTGGGGTGGGGAAGGGAAAGGAGTCTGTAAGCCGCTCTGAGACTCCTTTGGGTAGTGAAGGGCCATGGGGTATCCAATCTCCTCCTCCTCCTCCTCTTCTTCTTCTTCTTGTAATGTAAGCTGCTTTGGGTCTCAGCTGGGGAGGAAGGCAGGATGTAAATGAATGAATGAATGAATGAATGAATGAATGAATGAATGAATGAATGAAATAAGTATCCCTAAAACAGAAGCAGACTATTAAAGATGTGGAAAGATAAAGCCCCTAATTTCAAGCCTGATTTAAAAGATGTGTTTTATCCAGGCGCCTAACGGAGAGTAAAGCAGGCTCCAGGCGAGGGTGTTCCAGAGATGAGGGGCCACCACAGAAAATGCCCCGTCTCTAGTTGCCACCTGCCTCAGCACTGCAGGGGGGCGCGCAGGTAGATGGGCACGAGGGGTAGGTATTCACTAGCAGCCTGGAAGGTATGGAAGGAAATAGCCCTGCCCACGTGCTCCGGCCCAAGCTGTTTAGGGCAGGGGTGTTGAACTCATTTGCGTTATGACATAAATGAGACCTTGCTGGGCCGGGCCGGGTGTGTCATAAAAGGTAAGGCCAGGTAGCGGAGGCATCAACTTTATAAAGGACACAAGCACAAAGGTTGGGGTTTGTTTTTTTTAACTTAAAATAAAAACATGCTTAAGACATCAGCACTCTTGCAATGTTTTGTTTATTTCACAGTGTCTGATAACTGACACCTCTTGCTCTGAATTATTGCATCGAAATGTCTGTGCTGCTGCAATCTTGAGTAGGCTGTTCAGGTGTGTCTCTGTAAGCTGCAAACCTACGATGACGCAGCAGCAGCAGCAGCAGAACTGGAAGAAGAAGCAGGAGAGAGCCAGTTCCACTGCGGGCCTGATAGAAGCCCTCCGGGGGCCTGATACTGTCCCCGGGCCGCATGTTTGACACCCCTGGTTTAGGGCCTTTAAGGTAAGAGCCAGCATTTTGAATTGTGCCCCAAAGCAGCGAGTGCAAGCCTTTCAGTACTGGGAGGGGGGGTGACATGATTCCTGTAACCGACCCCTGGCTGTAGTCTGGCTGCTGGATTTGGGACCGGTTGAAGCTTCCAGACCATTTTCCAAGGCAGCCTCAGCACAGAGTGAATGACAGTAGTCTCACCTGGATGAGATCAGAGCATGGATGACCGTGGCCAGGTGTGCTGTCCGAGGAATGGTCGTCACCAGCCAACCAGCTTGAAGCACCACGGGCCCCAGGGGAGACCTGAGACTCTTAACAGCCAGCATCCAACAGCACCCCCAAGGTATGAACCTGTTCCTTCGGGGAGGGGGGGGGCTAGTGCAACCCAGTCCAGGACAGGTGGGCTCTGCACTCCCCAAGCAGACCAGCGATGCCTCTGTCTTGTCCAGACTGAGCCTCAGTTTCCTGGCT